TTCAGTAACAAGTGCAAGTTGTAATAAAGAGAAAGAGCGACCGTTAACAGGTGTGCTCTGTGAAACTAGCTGATTGTGGGCTGCTCAATCTGGCTAATTCACAGAGTGAAAAAGGGTGGGACATCTGGATGGAGGTCGTTAGAAACCAGGCTAGTCTTTCTCGCACCCAGCTTAAACAGAGTTTACTTGAGTTCTGGGTAGGGTAAATCTCGGCAGATTTAGGAAACTCAATTCACCCGTTAGACGGAGAGCTGGTAGCAACGTCTCCCTCCTCTCAGAAGAGGAAGTAGAGAGAGAGAAGGGGGGGGGAGGTGTTGTGCAACAACAAGGTGGCGCCCAACGTGGGGCCACGCCCCTTGAGAAGGGGTAGAGCCCTAGAAAACCAAGTCAGTAAAAACAGAGAGGCGAATATCTGAATAGCTCACTTGGAGGCTAGCTCTTAGGAAATAGTGTTAGTGGTGGCTGATCCGGCTGTCAGTCACAACCCTTGCAGTAACTGTATGGCATGCAGGTGAGGGAGAGCTTCTGCTGAGGATAGGCATAGGTATCCAGAAGCGGAGCCAGTAGCCAATAGCCTAAACCCATCCCTGCTTGAAGGCTAAAGAGAGGCTTTGGGGGAAAGGCGACTCGAAGACAAAGACAATCATGGATGAAGGAAAAGAAGAAGAAGAAGAAGGATCAAAACTCCAGCAAACGTCAAAAGCAGAGCAGGAGAGAAGATGAAGAAGATCCCTGTCTAGATCCCTGTTCCAGTCAGCCCCAGTGAGAGTGATTCGGTATGGAGAGGGATTTGAGACATGGACTCGAGCGAATCAAAGGAAGGTTGTCTTTGTTGGAATCGAGAAGTGGGACAGTTCTCCCAAGGGAAGGGAGGTCTCAGAAGAGTACGGGGACGAGGTCGTGCGAGGCGTGCATGGAGCCCTAGGACATGCAGGCGTGCGGTCTACACGTGAGGAACTGGAGGAACAAGACCTTTGGACGTCCCTTCAGACCATCCGATGCAGCTGCGAGACTGTGACTGTGAGTATGTGGTCCATACGCAGGGCTCCCAGGGCAGCGGATGGAAGGGTTGTTCATCAGAGAGCACATTACCCAGGGGTTCAGTCTGCATGGATGTAGCAGGCCCCATGGATAACAGAAAAGAGAGGTCAGGAGTACCTCTTGGTGCTGATGGACATGGTGTAACAGTGACAGCTGTAGAAGAGTAGGTCTTCCCCTGCAGAGAAACTCCGTTGCGTCACGGAAGGCAGGGAGGCGGAGGCACTTCTCCTTTTGGCCCAGGAAGGGAGAGGGGAAGTTGCAGCTTACAGTGTCATTGAAAACAG